ATGATATATATTATATTATATTATGATTCATTGCATGCGAGTTTTCATGTGAACTAGGGACACAGTCACCTCCCCTGATAACTTCGTACGGCTAACTTTAACAGTTATCGACCTTTTGAACGCCGATAAGGCTAAATGGAAGTAAATGGATGCAGACTATAAATTGAATAGGCCTTTCGAAATGCAATCGTGCGAGGCTATACGTAATAAAATGCACTGTTGTTGTTATGCCATATAGCTAATTGGTATTTTTAACCCTCCTTCCAACTACTCGCAGGCCACGCTCATAAACAAGAAAACGTTGGTCGATGAGCCCTCCAAATACGCCGCGGATGACATTGAGGTTTTAATATCCTTATGTGTTTTTAATTAGATGAATGGGTTTTATTTTTCTTCTACTTGATATACAAAATTTTTGGTGTCTTTACGGTTCGAGTCCCCACATCCAACACAAGTCCACCTCCTCCAACGCACACACACACGTTTAATATATGGGTCGTTGAATGATATATTATATACTATCTTATGTATATCTATACTAATTTCACATGCAACTCAAATGGTTCTCAGTTTTGTTGTAATTGGTTACCTCAATACACAATACCCAATCCAATCCAATCAAATCCAACCCCTTTTTGTCACACACATGCTTGGTATTCCCATTGCCATTGTTCTTGAAGAAAACTTTTTAAACTAAACTAAACTTAACTTTTTGCATTGTTTCTTACACATTTCTGTTCGTCCGTTGCAGGCAAAGATTATCAAGAGCGATGAAACCGAGCTGACGTACCGCACCACGGAGCCGCCGCGCGAGGTCCATGTGAAGATGCTGCAGGAGAACATTGATACGCTCGAGAAGGTCTTCAACTATGTGGCCAAGACACACTCGACCAAACGCTGTCTGGGCACTCGTCAGATACTCAGCGAAGAGGACGAAACACAGCCCAACGGACGCGTCTTCAAGAAGTACAACATGGGCGACTACAAGTGGAAGAACTTCATCGAGGCGGAGCGTATGGCCGCGAGCTTCGGACGTGGACTTCGCGAACTGGGCCAGGCGCCACGGGAAAATATTGTCATCTTCGCTGAGACGCGCGCCGAGTGGTTGATAGCTGCCCATGGCTGCTTCAAGCAGGCCATGTCCATCGTTACCGTCTATGCAACGCTGGGCGATGACGGTGTGGCCCACTGTAAGTAGACGGAAGCTAACGGCAGTTGATTCGATAACTAATTTTATTGAATTTGTATGCTAGGCATAAGTGAAACTGAAGTTACAACTGTTATCACCTCGCACGATCTGTTGCCAAAGTTCAAGACCCTGCTGGACAAGTGCCCGAAGGTGAACACCATCATCTATATGGAGGATCAGTTGCATAAGACCGAAACAACCGGCTTCAAGGAAGGCGTTAAAATCCTGCCGTTCGCTCAAGTTGTGAAAATTGGCAACGATAGCAAATTTGGTAAGTCTGAGTGATGAATCAATGAATTAATGAATCAATTCATAAATTAATCTATTGCTTTTTTCTACAGAGAATGTGCCACCAAAGGCCGAGGACACTGCCATCATTATGTACACTTCCGGCTCGACGGGCACGCCGAAGGGTGTCCTGCTGTCGCATAAGAATTGCATTGCCACAATGAAGGGCTTCTGCGACATGGTTACCATTTATCCGGAAGACGTGTTGATTGGCTTCTTGCCGCTGGCGCACGTGTTCGAGCTGGTGGCTGAGAGTGTTTGCCTGATGACGGGCATCTCCATTGGCTATTCGACGCCGCTGACGCTTATCGATACCAGCAGCAAGATTAAGCGGGGCTGCAAGGGCGACGCATCGGTGTTGAAGCCCACATGCATGACGTCAGTGCCGCTGATACTCGATCGCATCTCCAAGGGCATCAACGACAAGGTCAACTCGGGCTCACCATTCAGGAAGGCGCTCTTCAAATTCCTCTACCAGTACAAAGTCAAATGGGTACAGCGCGGATATCGGACGCCGCTAATTGACAAGTATGCGATGCATTGTGAATGATTTTGTAATCAATTCTCTAACATCTGCACTCTGTTGCTTCGATAGGTTGGTCTTTGAGAAGGTGGCCAAGCTGATGGGCGGCAAGGTGCGCATTATTATGTCCGGCGGTGCGCCGCTTTCGGCCGACACGCACGAGCAGATCAAGACGTGCCTGTGCGTCGATCTAATACAAGGCTACGGACTGACAGAGACCACGTCCGGGGCCACAGTGATGGATGGTAAGTAAAGTAAGTCTATATAAAATTGGAGTTTGTATTAATGTTCTATACAAATGCTTGCAGCCCGAGACATGACCTATGGCCGCACTGGAGGACCGCTGACTGTGTGTGACATTCGGTTGGTCAACTGGGAGGAGGGCAATTACCGTGTTACCAACAAACCCTATCCACAGGGCGAAGTTGTGATTGGTGGCGATTGTGTGTCGCAAGGTTACTATAAACTGCCTGCAAAGACCAATGAGGACTTTTTCGAAGAGGATGGTCGCCGTTGGTTCAAAACCGGCGACATTGGCGAAGTGCACTCAGATGGCGTACTTAAGATTATTGGTGAGTGGCCATTAGATATGAATCACAATTGAGATCTTTGCTAATCTTGCTCTATTTGCCTGCAGATCGTAAGAAGGATTTGGTTAAGCTTCAGGCTGGTGAATATGTCTCCCTGGGTAAAGTTGAGTCAGAGTTGAAGACATGCGGCATTATCGAGAACATCTGTGTCTATGGCGATCCAACAAAACAATTTACCGTCGCGCTGGTCGTGCCGAATCAGAAACATCTGGAAGAATTGGCCGAACGGAATGGACTAAAAAACAAAACGTTCGAGGAGTTGTGCTCATCGCCAATCATGGAGAAGGCCATACTCAAGGAAATTAGCGAACATGCGCGGAAATGTAATTACAAAATGATGTTTGATTTAACTGGATCAATGTAACGAATTTTAAATTCCTTTTTTTCTTATGCAGGCAAATTGCAGAAATACGAGGTGCCCGCTGCCATTACGCTGTGCAAGGAAGTTTGGTCGCCAGATATGGGGTTAGTGACGGCTGCTTTTAAGCTGAAGCGCAAGGACATCCAGGACAAATATCAGCACGACATTAATCGCATGTACGCTTCATGAAAGTCAATGTATTGAGGATCAGGAGCAGCAGTGAAGCTAATTGTGTACTAAATATTATAACAATTGTTTTAGTATAGCTCAAAAGGAAACATGCGTTATTCAAAACCAAACTAGCTTAAGTACTAAAAGATCTAAAAACCAAATAGGCACACATCAACAGCTTCGCCTGTAAAGAGAACATTTGTATTAAGAAATTGGTTGATTTTATGTGCTATTATTCTTTGCTTTTCTATATTATAATATAAATAAAAAACTATGTATCGAGTTTTTAGACATATATATATGTAGCTTGGTTTGGTTACCATTGTTTTGTAACATGCTGTTGATGTTGATGATAATGATAATGCTAATGATAATGATTACGAATGAATGACAATGAAGAATGAAATAAGAGTGGATAAAAAGCGGTTACGATTGATGTACAGTTTTTGGTTTTTAGTACACTGTTGTGACAAGTGGAAAATTGCGTAAAAAAAGATTATTAATACATTTTTTTTATAAAAAAAAAAAACAAAATGAAAAAAACTAAGCTTAAGTGGTTGCCTAATAATTATGTACATATTTACATATACACACAATCGCGTATATATCAAAATCTAATCGTAGATTTGAGTATACACATAGAGCGTACTTCTTTAAATTTAGTTTAATAAATGGCAAATATTGAAGTAATGAATTGTAGCAAATATTAAAACACAAAACAACATTGTCTGAATTAAAATGCAAAGTGCGAACACAAATTACACAAGACAACAATGTATTTCTTTTTAATCTCTGCTGGGAACACCAACTACTGAGAACCCTCCATATGCACAGAAAGAAGGTAACACGAAATGATTGTAAATGTATGTATTTTTTCTAGGTATACTAAGTAGTAAGAGCAACAATTGCAATTGAAATTCATAATCAGCATAAGAAAGACTTAGTGCTAAAGTATAAATTCAAACTTGGATTAAGTGCAAATAAATTCGATTATATAAATGTTAGTCATTATTTTAGTTAACTAAAAAAAAAAAAAAAAAACAAAAACAATACTAAAATTACACCGAAACGTTGCGTTTCGAATACGATATATTCTAGTTTACGAAGGTAAAGCATATTTGAAATATCGGCATTAATTTCGTGTGCTAAGTATTTACATACTATTATTATGCATCATATTTTAGATAGCATATTTTATTTGCTAGTGTTATTAGAATGAGTTACATGCAAAACAAAACGAAAGTCGTACATTAAGCAAATTACATTATTGTATATTTGGGTGTATAAATTATGAGAATGATTAATAAACATATTTAAATCTATKAATACATATGTATATATTTTTGTATTTCTTCAATTCATCGAATGTGCATACATATTTCTATTCAATTTTAATTTATTCGGCATATACAATGTGAATATGTATGTATATTTGTGTCTTATATTAACTCTTTGTTTGTGAAGGCTGCTTGACTCGCGTTGTCGAAAATGTCAGGATGGCCGAGTGGTCTAAGGCGCTGCGTTCAGGTCGCAGTCTACTCTGTAGGCGTGGGTTCGAATCCCACTTCTGACAAGAATTTTTTAAAATTCGTTTTATATTTTTGATAGAAAAGTTGCTTTTAAATTCATATTGTACTAATTATTCCTGAGACAATACTTATTATAA